GACGTGCCCACGCTCCGCTCCGCCACCCCCAGGAAGCCGACCAGGACTGAGGTGGCCGACGTGCCCACGCTCCGCTCCGCCACCCCCAGGAAGCCCGTGTCCCCCACCAAAGTGGCGCGCTCCTCCCCGGCCAAAGTGACGGCCGCGCGCCTCTCCCCGGCCAAGAAGACCGCCTCCCCCACCAAGGCGGAGCGCGCCTCCCCGGCCAAGAGGACCTCGTCACCCAGCAAGGCTGGGCGCCCCTCCCCGGCCAACAACGCCGACGACATCGCCGTCGTCATCCAGCCCGAGGAGGAGCTGCTGCAGGCGCAGCAGGACAGGGCGGCGAGCGCGGCGGAGGCCGAGAAGGCGGCGCAGCGCAACAAGCAGCGCCACACCCGCGGCCGCAAGGTGTACGAGTACTGCCCCGCGCTGGACGAGCACCTGGAGCGACGTGAGTATCTCATCAACACCCTCCACTTCCTGGCCAGCAACTAATGCCACGCTTCTCATTGCAGATCCGGCTCAGAACGAGATTCCAGGTGAGTCATTTCTGTGCAAATTCTTACCCATAGTCAATCACCCAGGCATTCAGATTTACTACTACTCCTTGCAAGACCCTCGTTAAGCCCTCCGGCTTGTCCTGCGAACTAAAGCTGCCGGAGGGGGGGGGGGGAATGCCGTGATTCTTTCAGCAGATTTTTTCTAGTCACACTAGGACGACCAATATACTCTCACATTCCGATAATCGGCGTTTTAGGCGTCCTTTGTTCAGGGGTAACTAGGAATGGGCCCCACCCGGCCTGCTTACACGCGGGCGGGGGGTGGGCCACCGGCTCCACACAGCTGCTCGGCGGGCTGGCCTACCCAGCGCGTCGCAGGCGTTTTCAACAACGTAGGTTTTAGGCGCGTAGGCCTAAGACATGCCGTGTTGTCTCAAATTGTACCCCTCCCTATTTTACCTCAGTATCTTTCCATCACACTATTTCATTACAATACTGAAATTTTAAACCAGTTTTGAAATTTCAGTGCGATTTTGTCTTGAAATTTCAACACGTTTTTAACATAGTGATATTACTGTTCGCAGCCGACAAGTGGGTCAAATGGCTCAACCCCACGCAGCTGCGCTGCCTCAGCCTCGCCATGCTGGACAACGCGGACCTGTGCCTGAGGTACTCGCTGGAGGCGAGGCGCGTGGAACGGTGGGAGGCGGCGTGGGTCAGCCTCGCGCGCCGGCTCAACACCATCTGCTACAACAGGCTGACCAACCTCAACACGGGCCTGCGCCTGACGGTCATGGAGTGGAAGAAGGTAAAGGACCACCATTAATTTATTTCTAAAGCGTACACTAAATGGGAAGAAAGGAATGTTTTGCTTCCAATGATTAATTGGATGCAAATTTGTGTCTGATAAGTTGTGTCTGATAAGTTAACAAGTTTTGCGTGCGGGCCTAGCTTAAGTACACATAAGTTTTTTGTGTCTATTTTAGAGACAAATTTGCCTCCAATTGAGATGTACTTAAGAACCTGGCTGGATGGATACAAAATTGTCCTTGCCCAACTTGAAAACGAAAATTGCTATCGCCCCCTGCCCCCTTTTCAAACCCCGCCTGAGAACAGAAGTACTTTTTCTTCTGAGGGATCGCCTAGAACGTAGAAGGTTTCTTAAATTCTTGCGATCAATTGGCAAATTACGAGAGTTTGGCGCCTGCGAGACTCAGGGTAGACTACCCCGCGGTACACGCAAGCTCTACAGGCAAGATATTGCCTACCCTCAAGGCGCTATGGGACATGGCATCGGCTGATCTTAGCAATTACGTAACGGCAACGGCAGATCACGGGCGCACTTTTTGCATGATTCTACCACAATAAGGGTTTAAGTTAAAGAGCGAATTTATTCCAAATTAATTTTTTGCTCGACGTCTCCCTTGTTTTTTTCATATTGTTTTCCATTGTTTGCTTAGCAAACCAACTTGATTTTCCTGTCTGTTCTTTTAGTTGTGGCTGGACATGCGGTCCCTGATCAGGTCGCGGGTGGAGGCCATGCCGCGGGAGCAGCGACGCCACGGGCTGGGGTCACTAGAGTGCCTGCTGTTCAGCGAGGACCTGTACAAGGCGCTCATGAAGGTACGCAGCTACGCTACGCAGCTTGAACGAATATGGAAACGAACAATAAGTCTATCTGACTATACTTATTTTGGGGTCATCTGTTTCAGTCGAAAGGGGAATGTTTGGGAGAGGACTGTCCGCGAATATGGTGCAGTGGAGCATGTAAGTAGCAGCATAACATCTTGTTGAAAAGGGTGGAAGGGCTTGGCCTTGCCTCACGCTTCATTGTCGCTTTTCCCAAACAGGTGTTGGGGTATTCTGTCCAACGATAGAACAAACCAATCGACGGGGAACCGAAGAGTAAACAACGGATGTGATAGGACCAATGTGATGTGCATGTGTTTATAATTTTTAAATTAATCTTGTACTATAATGTATTTTATGTAATTTATGTATTG